CAGCTGTCGCCCACACTGGGTAAGGCTTGTGTTTGGAATCCAGCACACCCTCCTTGGTCCTCAGTGGGAACTCCTGAAGATGAAAAGGGAGGGACTGCAAGGGAGGGGCCTTGGTGTGCTTGAGAGGGAGTGGATGTGCTAGGCAGGGCTGTCCAGGTGGCCTCTGTGCCCAGCCACCAGCAGAGATGTACAAGGAAAGCCAGAGTGGAGGCCTGCTTGGGGAAGGGGCCTGGGCAGGGAGCCAGCGCCTAGGCCCACTCCGGGGCCTTTTCCACTGCACAGCGGGGCCTCTGTACCTACTCCGGGATGATCGGATGGGGCATCTTCCTGGTAACAAGGCAATTGGCTGTTACTGTCGCCACTATTGTGTTTGTGTGTAAGTGTGTGTGTTTCTAGGATATTTACCAAGTTTTGGCCCAGGGGTTTACATTTCTCACCCCCCTAGCAAAAGCTTTCACTGTTCAAGTTCCAAGTGGAAGCCACTGAGGCTATAATTACACCGGCAGTAGCTCAGGAACATGCTGAGAGGAGCGGGAACCAAGCACCTGGGGAACCTGAAAGCAGCCTTGGGCCTAAATTAGCTGCTGTTCTGTTCGTGGCTGTCGCCCTGCATCTCTCTGGGGTCCCTCTCTGTCCTTGTTCTCCTCCACCTAGGCCCCAGGCTGCCTGGCTCTTCTTTGCCACCAGCCACCTTCCTGACAGGTGCATGGAAAGTGAAAGGACAACCTGGCTGGCTGGCTGGCTGGCTGCAGGGAACCCTCCTGATGCACGGTGTCATGGAGCAGCCTTGGCACAGCAGGCATGCTCAGTCCTTGCTGGGCCCTGCCTGTGGTTTGGCAGCTGCTCAGGAAGTGGCTGGGAGGTCAGACGCCCCACTTGCGCCCACTACGTCATCTCTCTTTGTCCACCCTGCAGTCTCCATCTTCAGGTTCACGGACGCGCTGTCCTTCTCTCCGCCTGTGCTCTTGCACTCCCCTCTGCCTGGGACCGCTGCTCTGCTCTTTGCTTCTCTGACTTATCCTGCAGATTTCAGTGCAGGTGTCACTGCTTCTGTGACCCCCAGTCTGGACTCCTGCACACCTGACTTCCCTGATACACACTCAACATTGCCCTTTGTCCCCGGGGAGGTGACTGGCACATAGTAGGCCCTCAATAAAGATGTAATCGATTGGTTAGGAAAACATACCTCGATTCCCTTTTATTTTTTTCTGAGAAGAGAGGGAGCTTCACTTTCTGCCTTGTGAGGCCGTTGTTGGCCAGGCAGGGTGATGGGGTGATGGCTCAGTCTTCATTGATCATCCCACAGTTCTCACTTGGGAGCCCGGACCCCACATCCGTACCTGATTGTCTGTATTGACCTCTGTTGATGACTCTGTATCGGTTTGGTTTGGTTCATGAGCTTTCAGGAACTAAACATCATTGTAGGTACAATGTTCTTTAAGTCATCAGTTACACATTTGGCACCCATTAGGCACTAGGCACCAGGAGCTATGGATGCAGCAGTGGACACCACCAACAGTGCCCCTGCCTCCACGGAGCTTGTATTTGTTGTAGATGGACAAATGAGTAAGCAAGTGTGTATGATGGCAGGCAGTGATGGGTGCTGTGGGGAAAGAGATCAGAGTATGGGGTGAGGGGGCTGCTTGTTACGGTGTCTATGGTGGCCAGGAAGGACTCGTAGATAAGGGGATATCTGAGCAGAGACCTTGATGAAATGTCAAGAGGGCCCATGTGGTCACAGAGTTTTGGGGAGAGCCTTTCAGGCAGAGGATGTGACAGATGCTAAAGCCCTGAAGTCAGGCTGTGATTGGCATGATCCAGGAAGAGCGGGAAGGCCAGAGTGGCTGGAAAGGACTAGAGTGAGCAGGGGGAAAAGAATAGGATTTGAGGTCGTTTAGAGCAGAAGGGGCTAATAGAAATATAATACTTCATACATGTAATTCCAGATTTTTTAATGGCCACATTAAAAAAGTAAACAGAAGCAAATGAAATTAATTTTAATAATACATTTGCTTAACACAATATATCCAAGTATTATTGCTTCAAAATGCAATCAGAATAAACAATATTAATGAAATACTGCATATAATTTTTATTCTTATTAAGTTTGCAAATCTGGTCTGAATTTTCAGAGTTGGCATGCACATCTTGTTTGGGTTAACCACATTTCAGGTTCAATGGCCTTGTGTGGCTAGTGGCCTCCATACTGGTCAGCACAGATATAGAACCTCATAGTCTGTGCCAACGCATAGGAATGAGATGGGAGAGCCACTGCAAATATCGGGGCTCAGGAGCCCTATCTCTCTGACTTAGCTTCTAGAAGTTTCTCACAGCTGTGATGAGAGTATTGTTATGGGGCAGGAGCAGAGCTTGGGGACAGGAAAGGAGCTCTTACCAGCCTGCAGAGATGGTGCTGGACCAAGGGGTAGTACTGGTGGTGAGAAGTGGTCAGCTTCTATATGTATTCTGAAGGTAGAACAGCCAGGATTTTCTGACATGAGAAAGGATGAAGGAAGTGCCAAGATTTTTGGTCTGAGTTACTGGAAGAAAGTGTTGTTTTCAGAGAAATGAGGAAGAGGGGTGTTAGGGCAGCCTTGGGGTGAGATACAGGTGTTGGCCTTTCAGGTAGAGTTGGTGGACAGGTGTTTACTGTATGAATCTGGGGTTCAACGTGGAGGTCTGACTGGGAATGTAAGTTTGAAAGTTGACAGCTTATTTTTTTTTAAAGATTTATTTATTTTTATACAAGAACCAGGGTATAGGCCAGATGCACGGGAGGGTGAGAGGATTCACTGGAGACAGAGCAGGGAACAGAACAGGCAGACTGATGAAATACACTGCTGAGGGGAGTAGCGGGCGAGACAGGAGAGGTCTGCTTCACCATGTGGGATTCTCGCCAGCTGGCTGATCGAACCTGCACTGCAGAGGCTGCGGGCAGCTTCACGGTGTGGCACGCAACTGCCTGTGCCACCAGGGAGGCCCAAAGTTGACAGCTTGTTACTTGTGTTTAAAGATCGTGAGGTAGCTGAGGGTCTTGGGGGTCGATGCTTGGAGAGAAGAGGGGTGCTGAGTGAGCCCTTTTGGAGAAGATGGTCCGGTGAAACAGACTGAGAAGGAAGTACAGGGAGGCAATAGAGAGAGAAAGGCTTTGAGGCCAGGGGGCCAGGGGGAGTGGCCACTGTGTCTGGTGCTGCTGATGGACTGATGCAGGAGAGGCTTGGAGGACATGACCACTGACATTGTGGGGAGCAGATACCAATTTGCAGTAGGTCCAGGAGAGAATGCAAGAGGGGGAGACAACTAGGACAACTGGTCTACACAGCTGTTTAGAGAAGTTTTGCTTTAAAGCAGAGCAGAAAAGTAGGGCAATAGCTTGGTATTGGGTACATGACCACAAGGTAATCTTTTGTTTTCTTAAAGATGGATGTGATAGCTGATGGGGATCACCTTGTGGGGGAGAGAAGAAGCATGAGTTAGCTCCTTCACACTCAAACAACACAGTGCAGTAGGTGCTATTTTGTAAACCAGGAAACTGAGGCAAAGGAAGCTCCAGTCACTTGGGGAAGACCTTGTCACTAACCAGCAGCAGGGCCAGGAGTCCAGTGCAGGTGTCAGTTCTTAACCAGCGTGTTAGGCTGCTTCTCAGTCTCTTGTCTTGAGCTGCTCTTGGGAGTGGGACCTCCTGCTCCAGCACAGCATGAGCAGAGAGGTTGCACAGAGATGGGACTTAGGACCTAAGTACCACATGATCAGAACACTGGGGTCCCTGCTGGAAAATGCTGGCACCTGGGCTGGTGGTGGGGGCCAAGCCTCAGCCTGCCTACCCGAGTCCTTCCCCTATTTTGCAGGCCCTCACCTGGAGGGGTGGTGCTCATTCAATGTTGCATTTGTTGGGTGCATGAGGAAAGACAGAAAAGGCGGTGGCTCCTTTAACACCTAAGCTGATGATTTTCCCTGGTGTTGGCATCATCTGGACTCCTCTGATTTCTGCCAGTGTGCTGGGTGTCCTTGGGCAAGCTCTGTGCCCTCTCAGGGACTCAGCTTCCCTATCTGTAAAATACGGAGGTTGGGTTAGGTCATCTTCCATCCAGTTCTGTCACAATGCCTATGAGGGGTGTGTGCGGACAGAATTCTCCTCCCCCTACCGGGTCTGCTGCCACTGGGATGGACAGGGCTCTGTGGGTGGGAGATGGCAGGCCTGAAGTGTCGGGCGCCCTGTGTCATGTACTGCTCTCAGAACAGCTAAGATTTACGAGGTGGTGTGGCCACTAGAGGAAATGAGTTGATTCCTGGGAATCCTGCTTTTAGCCCAGGATGGTCCAGTTCACAGACAGCAGCACTGATGCAGAAATCACCCACACCCCATTGTTAGGTGCTCATCCCTGATAGAGCCCGAGGCTGCCACCAGCCCCCACTTTCCACTGTGTGGGCTCCCTGAGCTGTTTTGGAGTGTGTGGTCACAAGGGTGAGGGCAGGGATGGTGGTAGTGGTGACATTTGTACCATGGCTGCTGAGGGTCCCTCCTGGACACTCTGGCAGCAGTGTCCAGGACTAGAGGCCTGCTCCAGGTGCCACTGTGCGGTCTTGGCAGCCTTGGGACCTGTCTCGGCTCTCAACTGTCACTTAGATGTGTGATTGTGACCTAGCCACATTATGTACCTGTCTCCCACATAGGGACTGTGAGCACCCTATGTGCTCAGGACTTAACCAGGACCATGAGCACCTCCCTGCTTGCCTTTTAGGCCTGTGATAACTTTGAAACAAGGCTTTGGGTTAACAGTCCCCATCACAACACCCACCATCTGCATAGCTTAGCCTGTGCCAGGCGCTATTCTGAGCACTCGGCGCATCAAATTCGTTTGTTTTTGCTGCAGCCTTAGCAGGTAAGACCTGTTAAGTGATCCCATTTCACCGATGAGGAAACTGAATGCTGGCATGTGTCCCCAGCACACAAGTGCTGCATTCTGTGCGGGCCTCTGACCTCTCTCCACCCCCTCCAGGGACAGGGGCAGACCCACCGATCAGCACCAAGAGCAACCACTGCTTGGATGCTGCCAAGGCCTGCAACCTGAACGACAACTGCAAGAAGCTGCGCTCCTCCTACATCTCTATCTGCAACCGTGAGATCTCGGCCACTGAGCGCTGCAACCGCCGCAAGTGCCACAAGGCCCTGCGCCAGTTTTTCGACCGCGTGCCCAGCGAGTACACCTACCGCATGCTCTTCTGCTCCTGCCAGGACCAGGCGTGTGCCGAGCGCCGCCGGCAGACCATCCTGCCCAGCTGCTCCTACGAGGACAAGGAGAAGCCCAATTGCCTGGACCTCCGAAGTGTGTGCCGGACCGACCACCTGTGCAGGTGCGAGCACTGCCTGGCTCTAGGAGGTGCTGATGGGTTCTCTCCCTTCTCTGCTTTCTTGGGGTCAGCTGGGCTAAGCTCTTGAGCCCAGCAAGGAAGGGGGCTGGATTTGGGCAAAATGAATTGTCATCATTCATTCATTCATTCATTGTTTCATCCCTCCATGCTCTCATTCACTCCTCCACCTCCTTGTTCATCCGTTCATCCATCCACTCCACTCATCCCTTCATTCAGCACGGTGTATTGTTTGTCTATTCTGTGCCCAGCCTCAGGCTAGGCACTGTGGGGGAAACCAGAATGAACTACCCAGGGAATGTATAACTTAAGATCACAGACAACTAGAGGCTCCATGCCTGTAAGGAAAGACCTTCAGTGAATTTAGCCCCACCTCTAAAGGGAGCCCCACCTAATCTCTCAGCAGATATCAGTCACGTGGCCGCCTGGGGCGGGGAGCTGTAAATGCTAGTAAGTGTTAGGATGTTTTTTGTTGTTTGGTTACAGTGAGTTGAAATTTGCCTCTTCCTAATTCTCAGGTTTCCCGTTTGTTGTTAAATATTTCTGGAGCTCCTGCAGAGTGCAGAGCTCACTTCTGAGATCTAGGTGTGCAGAGGTGAAATCGATGCTCCCTGAGGGGCATGCAGTCTGGAAGGGGAGACAAAGAGAGCACTGATGCTGGTGCCATGGGGTGAGGGCTGTGGGTGCCCGTGGTGGGAGGGACATCTGCCTCCGCCTGGGGTCCTGAGGAGGGGCCTTTCTCTGGGCCTTGGAAAATGAGAAGGAGAAAGCCAGAGACTGAGTCAAGCCAAAACAGCACGTGCAGAGGCTGGAGGGCAGGAGAGAGCGGCCCAGAGGAGCTGCAGGGTGGGCACACGCAGAGTGTGGGCTGTGAGGTGGGCAGGCTGCTGGGAATAGGGATTGCCGTAGTGCAGGTGTTCAGAGGTTGCTGGCTACATCTGGACCCTGGCTCATCTTATTTAATCTGTGCAACAAGGTTATGAAGAGGGTGCTGTTACCATCTACATCTGCCAGATGAGGAAGTAGAGCCATAGAGAAGTATCTTGTCTAAGGTCATATGGGCTAAGACATTTCAGAGCTGGGGTCCATTCTGCTTCCTTTCCAGGTTAGCATAGCAGCCAGGACCAGGATAGCAGGTATGGGCATGTGACAGTGTATCATTTCAGAGATGATGGGTAAGTTGACTTGACAAGACTGGGTGACTGGCTGAAAATTCCTGGAGGTGAAAGCTATATCTCTTTTATTTGCTCCACAGTTTGTCCTGCACATGGCACGTGCTCCGTAACCGTGTGTGTGGGTGAGGGAATGGGGGCTGCCATGTTTCCTGGCTGAATAGCTATGGGCGATGTTGTCACCAAATGGGGAAGTGTTGGCGTGTAGCATTTGAGCTGCTTGGGGCACCATTGTCATCCCCATGGCAGTGTGTGTGGGGCATTTGGACTTGTAGATTTGGGGCTCAGTAAAGGGACTGGAGCGGAGAAATGGGTTTGGGGGTTGTTGGGGGCCTCCTTGGTGAGTCACAGTGTTGAATGAGATGGCACAGGGAGGGTGTCTAGGCTGGAGATGCCTGAAGATTTGTGCATCTCAGGGTTTAGGAGATAAGTGAAGCCACTGGGTGGGCTGTGAGGCAGGACTCCATTGGAAACACCAGTTCTTGAGGGAGGAGCACAGGAGGGGGAACCTGGGATGCAGAGGGTGGGAGGTGGGACCACCAGCAAGAGAGAGGAGAGGGTAGGAGGACTGAGGCATGATGCTTCAGTGTGTGTGTGCATGTGAGCATGTATGTGAATGAGTGTGCAGGTGTGCATAAGAGTGTGTGTGCACATTGCAGTGGGTGCAGGTCTGTTGGGAGGCAGAAGTGGAGGCAGTGGTATAGACCCCCTTGGGTGAGGGACTGGGTGAGGTTGGGCTGCAGGGGAGGGGGGAGGAGCAGAGGCCTTATTACTACTGTGAGAGTAGGAGCACTGGGCCCTGGGGCTCGTGAAGGGGAAGCGCTGCTGTAGTTGGGCGGGCTGATCCCTAGAGCTAGCTGCAAGACTCAGCAAGACTGAAGATGGTGGGCTTTTTTTTTTTTTTTGCCTGTATTATTTATTAAATTGAGGTCACTTAAATAAAACTGTGCCTACTACAAGGGGATGCTCCCTGAAGGGGCCAGTTGTGTGGCCTGGCAGAACCGTAGCTGGAGACTTGATGGGCTACATAATTCCCAGCAGGATAGGAGAGAGCTTCTAATTCTTGGATCCAGCGCATTCTCTTCCATTCTAAATGCTCAAAATGACCTTGCCAGGCCATATTGCACACAGGTATGTGGTATGACAGAATGGGTGAGGATTGGTGTTATGGGGCACTGGGGGGGCCACATGAGAAGAGTCTTCGGGCCTCGGATGTACTGCTCACAGCTGTGGGGCATGGAGGTCAGGGAAGAGTCTCAGCAGAAGGCACCTGGACACCAGCACCCGCTTGGTGAGATGTGTTTTAGGGAAGGACATTATGTGTCATTCCTGTGGGTTCTGAGACCTTGACTTGAGAGCTGAGAATTTGAAACAGGATGATTTTGGTGGCTTATAAAAAAAATACGTATTTGTTTGTAGATCCAGAGGAGCTTTTGTTTGTTTGTTTATCTAGAGGTAGGGGAAGCCAGGAATAGGAGGGTTGGGGGATAAATTTAACATTGAAGAGGTGTTTAAACAAGAGGAGGTGTGAGGAAGGTCAAGAATGAGGCATCCTGGGAGCTAAGGGCTGATGATTTGTGAGACTCAGCTCTCAGGCACCCTGCTGGGTTGCAAATTTAAATAACGGTAACAGAGGCTCCCTCAGATAGTGCTGCATCTAGATGGTTGAGTTGGGTCGTGAGCAGAATGCTCTGGGTGCTTCTGCATGTGCCTGAGTGAGCTTCTGGTCTGGAACTGGTGCTTTCCTCCCACCCAATCCTGCAGCACCCGTGGTCCTGCCTGTGGTAGGAAAGGGAGCAGGGCAGGACCTGGGGGAATGGGGAGGCATGACCAAGTGACCTTCAGGCGCTTTGCCCAGAGTTGAGGCTTGGGGTGTTATGGGGAGAAACAGACATGGTGGGTGGAGGTCATTGCCGTGGTCACCCTGGAGCCAGGAGACCTGCGTTGGTCCTTGCTCTGCCCTTGTCTTCCGAGGGGTCCAGGATGGACTGTTTCTCTCATCGTGCCCTCAGTCTCCACTGATTACACAAGGATGCATCACCCTGTCTAAGGCCCTTCCAGGTTTGTGGACTGTGTCAGCGGAAGCGGCTTCCCAGCCTGCCCTCTCTGCACCTGTGCACTCCCCTGTGCCTGCCTCCCGACTTGCTTATGTTCCCGGAGAGATGGGCTCTTGGCACCAGAGGGAACCCCTAGGGATGCCTCCTTAGAGGTGGTGTGGGTCAGTAGATTTGAAGGACCCAGGGGTGGAGCTGGGAGAGGAACTAACTTCCCTCCCTGCTCTGCAGGTCCCGCCCATTGACCCATGGACACTGTTCCCAGGACCCTTGGAGCCCCTGGAGAACAGGCAGCCTGGGAATGAGCCCTCTCCCATCCCTTCTGGCCTTGGCTTCCTCCAGGTTTCTGCCTGCCAGGCTGGGAGACTAGGGGCACATCTTTGCTGTGTGAATGGTAGGGCCCAGTGCCATGGTGTTTGGGACAGGAGTGGGAGACCCCCAAACTTCCTCTCCTCTCTACTCCAGTGAGCAAAACTGGCCCCATGGAGATTGTGGGAAACCTTCCTGGGGGCCATGCCTTGTAAACGAGGCCCTGGTGTCCGGCACCTCCAGAGCATGTCCAAGCTGCCGTGCTGTAGCTCCCAGCACCCTCACCCCCTAGGCCTGCCCTTTGCCTTCTGCTTGGGGAGTCAGCCCAGCTTCACCCAGGCTTCTCCCTGAGTGAATCTTGGCCCGGGACTCCTTGGGGGCAGCTCTGGCAGAGCCGACCTTACCTGGCACCACATTAAAGCCTGTTGCTGATGTTCTTGGTGGCATACAAGCAGCAGGCCTTGTCTTCCCCCCTGTGATACTTAACAGACTCCGTCTGCTGGGCTGTCTTATGAAATGTTCCTGATGACAGAGTGAGGCCTTTGATGAAGTCTTTGGTTAAACAAGGCTACTTCCATGTTGGGCCTGGGGTGTTATTGGGAGTGCTTCCAGACCTTCCCCCACGCTTGGACCAGGATCCATTTGGGGTGCAGGTGGAAGCTTCCAGGTCTAGCAAAACTTGAAATTGCACACCAGGACCCTTGCTCTGCCTTTCATCTTTGTCTGTTTCACATCCCACAAGCTTTAGGCTGTGGGCTGAAGTTAACAGAGAACCTAGAGAAGACTGGGAAAGGCTTTCTTTCAGATCTGGAGTCTGGAAAGCCCAAACAGTCTCTTGGATGAATCCATGGAATTTGGCTGAATTCCCTTGCCTCGGTCCCCAGTGGGCCATGACCTACATATATTTTTTTAATGCAATCTTTTGGTTTCTTTCCCCCTAACAGCTTACATTTATTGCAAGGGTGGTCCAGATTGTGTGTGTGTGTGTGTGTGTGTGTGTGTGAGAGAGAGAGAGAGAGAGAGAGAGAGAGAGAGAGAGAGAGAGAGAGAGTGTGGGGGGGTTGTCAGAGGGTGATTCTATAACCCTGTGAACTGTGCCCCTTCCAGGAGGGGCCCTCTGAAGTGCCCAGCTCTTGGTCCACCAGGAGGATATAAATAACTCCACACTGGCTCCGTGCCATATCCTGGACTGCAATTTAACCTCTGGGTGCTGAGCATGTATATAAATAGACTCCACCCTGGGGCTGCTCTGGCTGCCTAGGCCCCTTCCTGCAGTGGATGCTGTCCTTGTCTGACAGGATTTCTGGGAAGGTAAAGGGATTGGGGTCCACCTCCTGAAGGCATTGCAGGGTGTGGGGAGGAGTCCCATCAGTAACCCCCGACCCTACACACACATTTGAGTAGCAGGGCGGGTGGGGCGGGGGGCAGTGTCTGCATCTGTCTGCAGGTT